TGCTATAATATCAATAAGTGTGTGAAATATTTATAACATGTCGCTTCTGCCTTGATCTTGTACCACACAACTAATCTTTTAGTACATACAGCCACAATGTTATTGAACCATTTGTCGGATTTTTTACTTAACTAATTGTTTTACGTCTACCCACTTTACATCGTTTATGAATCGTCGTATAAAATGTGTTTTTTTATGATTCTGTTATTCTATTTCGAATGTATTAAAAGGGGAGAGCTTAGCAGCTGTAACACAGGTCTGTGACCTAGCACAGTTGCTAAAGGTACCATAATTATAATATTGAATTGGATTAAGTCTTAATTATATAAATATTATAAGGTTTTGTTTTATGTAAAGTGTTTTTGGGATCAATAAATTATTATTATTATTATTATTATTATAACTAAAATTAGCTGTTGCCGGTTGCTTTTGAGTAAAACTAGATATTTTTGTGATTTGCATAAACACTTGTACAAGTTTCACAATATTTATTTTAAATTATTAATATACTAGTTATAAAAACCGACCGGTTTCATCTCACGGCATCATCAAGGAAAAACTAGTTATTGTAATAATTTAAAATTAAAAATGTTGTACAGCCGACTTCATATCCGGAGACACTGTAGTGTCTCACGCCAAGTACACGTTCAACATATGTATATGTGTAAACGTGTAGGCGTGAGCAGTGTTGCCGATTTGTGGGGAATTCCCCGAACTGCGGGTAATCTCAATAACAGACGACTCAATACTCTTCATTGCGCCAAATTTAAATTTCGGCATCTTTATTCTTTCGACAATCGTAAAATTGTTTTGTGTAACTTTTAATATTTTTAGGGTTTATACATTTCTTTCTACAGATTTCGTGTTTGTTCCAAATTTATTAAAAAATACTTTGGCGACACCTAGAGCCTATTGTGAATATTAATACAGAATTTTCATGGACTTATACAGTTTGTGGTTCAGTTTCTTTTTTTTATCAGTAGCAATATATTCCATTAAAAGCCTACTTGTGAGAGAAACAGTCTTCTCAGATCCGTCGAAAACTACCAAAGAAATGCTGATTATAATGAACAACCAATTCACTGTGGTATATTTGAAATTCATGTCTTACGTACTTGCACTGGTAACAAAATTCGATGTATTATTTCAATCAGAAACATCCCTTCTTCACAAATTGAAACCAGAAGTCGAAAATCTTTTGAAAACATTGTTTTCTAATTTTATGAAAATTGGCTATGTCAAGTCCTGTGCTAATATTTTAAACGCAGACTTAAAAAATCCAATACATTTTCTAAGTTTAAACGAAATATATATCAGATCAAAGGCTGGAGAAAGTATGGAAAATTTAACAAATGACGAAAATGTACCTCGTGCTGCTATTGCATATTTCTATAGAACCTGCCAGGAGTTTTATATTGAATTGACATTAGACATTACCAAGCGATTTGAGTTCGGGGATTCTTTATTTTCTATTATATTCGCTGTAAATCCATCAGAAGCTCAACTTTTTTTGTGTTTTATAAATTTGTGACCGCACAAAAATTAGATGACGAGTGGCAAACTCAAGCTTTGTTAGATTTTGATCAACATGTGCTTGAAATTCATGGAGATAACATCGAAGCCGAAAGTTACTGGGGTAAAGCGTTTCGCCTTAAAAATGCTGCGGGAGAACACATGTTTCCAAACATAAAAATAGTTACGTATTTGTTGCACATACTGTCATTTTCAAACGCATCGGTCGAAAGAAAATTTAGTGCGCTTCGACATTTTAAAAACAGAAAACCGCAATCGGCTAAATACAGATATGGCAACAAGAGAAGGGATAAAAAAATTGGGCGGCAGTGTCAAGTTTAATAATCCTTCGAGCATAATGCTTGCATCAAACGTATGAAAGAAGGTTAAAAAATAAATATTATTTAAATAGTTGAAACTTGTTTCATTGTATAAAATAATATTGAAGGGAATTTGTGGGGAATCAGCAGATTTTTGTCCCTAAATTTTGGGAATTTTATTCGAATTTTTGGGGAATTACATACATTGGCATTGGCAACCCTTGGCGTGAGACTACAGAGTATATAATATATATTCTCGAATCAGATGTTAACATAACCTCACCAAATTTTTAACTTCATATATTTAAATATTAACGAAACGTCAACACTTTATACAGTCATTTATCATTTTGTTTATCAATTGTTTCCATATAACACTAAAAATTATTTCATATTTTTCAATATCTCAAATTTTTGCTTGCGCCGTTTTCCGATTCCATTCCACAAAAGATTTTATTAATTTCGGTCGAATTTTTTTCTTTTTAAAAGATAAAAAAAATTGTTGGCTTGGATGCTTGTCTTTTAAGCCATGTTTTCATTTATTTATTTTCAAGATTTGTGACTTGGATACTTGTCTTTTGAGCCATGTTTTCATTTACCTGGTATAGAATGATTATAATCCTTTATAGTACACTGCTTTACAATATGTTGATGCGTCACATTGCACAGCCCTTGAGCGATTTCGACGACAACTTGAGCCAGCAGACAGTTGGCGATATTATCTCAAGACGTCTAAGCAGATAGACACCTTATCTTGAGAATATTGGTATAGCGGTAGGGATACAACATCGCTCATAAAAAGCGATATTAGAACCTCGATATTTTGTTTATCAATTATTTCCATACATCACTAAAAATTATTTCTATCTATCAATTATTTCATACTTTTCAATATCTCAAATTTTTGCTTGCGCCGTTTTCCGATTCCACAAAAGATTTTACTAATTTCGATCGAATTTATCTTTTTAAAGATTGTTGGCTTGGATGCTTGTCTTTAAGCCATGTTTTCATTTATCTCAGTATCAAATGACTATAATCCTTTATAGTACACTGCTTTACAATATGTTGATGCATCACATTGCGCAGCCCTTGGACGATTTTGACGCCAACTTGAGCAAGGAGATCTCATCAATATTAATAAATAATTATTGTGTAAAGTGTAGATTATTATGCAGTTAAAAGCATGCCGCCAACGCAATATGCTCACCGCCCTAGCCTGGCTGAGCTCGAGCTATGATTTATGACCCCAACTGTACCCCGAGCACGAACATTTTGCTCTATAGTACAGTTTACGATTACGAGACAGTTTAGTTTCAGTAAAATTTTGTATGGGAATTTGAACAGCGCTCCGTGAGCGTATTTGGAAGCACGAACATCTAACGCTGCGTTATGCATAGCTATCGTTTGGTTTAAGTAATCGTAAGACACAAAATGTGTGGATTTTCGCAGCACGAATCTATTTTTGACGTACGTTATCGTCTATCCACTATAGAGAACTACGAAATTGTTCTCACCGACATTTTTACAGCGAGAACGCTATCGACAAGTCTTAGTTTTAAGTTTCTCTGGGTTTTTCTTCGATGTAAGTTAAAAATATTTTTATTAAGAATAAATAGGATGAGATCCAAGACTTTTTATTATTTTGCGTGGCGTTTGGAAGTAGAGGAAAGAAGGCAAAGACGAGAATTAAGGTACATAAAATGTACTATATTAAAGTATTACTAATTAATAAATTCTGTAAATACCCTTACCTTAATTATATAATTGATTAATAATAAATTTATTTTAATAGCAATAAATAATAAAATTATTATAATAAATAATTTCAGTGGTATTACTCAACGGGTTTTTCATCACCGAACTGAAGAACCTATGAATATTTCTGAAAGATACGATTAAGTAAAATGCATTTAAATTCCCTTGCCTTGAACTTCGCTCTAAAATAAACTTGACAGGGAAACTTATTATATATAAATTCTAAAATAAAAGAATAAGCTTAGAGCTTAAGGTATAAAAAAAATAATGCTCAGAATTAATTTACCTGCTGTAGTTATTATATATGCACCTAACCTCATATTTTTTTCATTTATGTTTTAGGTTCTTTGTGCGTTATTATTTTACTCAACAGGCTCTTAACAACGTTTAGTCGGTACGAGAAAGAATTTGGGCCAAACAAGTGTTAGCAAATGTGTCTCAAGTTACGGAGGCACTTAACAGCCAATAAATAATAACCAATAACTTTATCAGGTTCCCCACTTCAAGGGCTGAGAGAGACGTCATAAAAGTACTTACTTACAATATTTTATTTTTAGCTTTGTTAATGAATGAAAAATAGGCGGAGTAAACAGGGATCGCATACTGCATTACAAACCCGAAAAATACGCCAAAATTATTATAGTTATAGTTCATTGTGTCCTACATAATATAGCTATGCTATTTGGAGTATCAGACCCAGAGGCAGATGTGTACGGTAATAATTTAAATGATCACATGAGCAACCTGATTTATGCATTATAAGAAGTAACAGTAGTCAGGGTTAGTAAGAGGTCGTGCTATGAGAGGAATTGTTGTAGGGATAGACTTAGTGCAGTGTAATTCTTCTGTATGTAATTTGTGTTTATGCCCAGATTTAATTTTTGTATTAATAATAATCTAACAATGATTTATTTATTACTTTATTCATAATTTAAATTAAATATTTCAAAAATTTCGACCACTGCCAAGATCAAAAAATATTAAGCAAATATAAATAAAAAGGATTATGTTAATATGTATTAAGGAATTTATGAATGGCAAATAACCCCTGGGAATGAGGTAGTTTCTACTAAGTTATTTCTAATACCACTTATAGTTAATTGTGTAACATAATATATGACTGTAAACAATTATTCTTTCCTGGACACAGGTATTTTCCGAACCAGTGGTAGATTAAACATAAGAATGATCTTAAATAAGTACTATTTATAATGTATACTGGACAAGAAAAAATCCATTTATATTTCTATTGAATCCAATTTTTGTAATTAAATTGATTCTCTATTGTGTTGTAGGCATATCTACACAGTTTGAATAATGTTTTGATTTGTTTTTGTTATTACGACTTTAGATTTTAAGTGTAGTCTATTTTTTCCGATATTAATATTAAGTTCAAATAAAAAAGTACAAGTACAAAATTTCAATGAGACATTTTATTAAAAACATGTACAATTATTATTATTTATACATTATTACACTGAGCTTGCACTTCAGCTCAGTATCATGTTGACAAAGTGCTCTGTAGTATCCTCTCTCGTTCTAATTATACAAATCCCTAACTTTCCTTATTATCATTCCTTATATTCTCCTCACTCAAAAAAATATTCTTCTAATGATCTAAGTGGTTTCTTTTTGGCTTGTTGTGGGGTGGGTTGCCCGTGGAGGGCAATTAGAGATTTCGGCGGTGTGGTAGATTTTGGAGGTGTTTGGGATCTGGTTATTGTTAGGAATCTGGGATTGGATGGAGGTATAAGTACTGGATCCTTGCTACCGCCAGGAGTGTTCCAGTCCTCATCATCTGAAAAGATCAATTGAAAAACTTGAACTTTCTACATTACTTTCACAGATATTTCCTTTTTATATTGTTGAAAATATTTGAAAGTTAAAAGATGTAATGACTAATTTGAATTATAAGTACTTTATTATTATGATTTCTTTAATTTATAAAATAAACAGGACTCATGATTACACACTAGTATCACTTACATCATGAAATTATAATAATTTATTTTTATTTTTATAATTGCAATAGTTAACATACACAAAAGTAGTTGAAGACATACCTATAGCGGGAATTTCAGATGGTAAAATTATTAAATTTTCTGTTTGTGGCTTTGCGAGTATAGAATACTGTTTTATTAATTCTGTCAGATTATTCTACCTGTAAAATAATAAGATATTAGTCTTTTTCTAAAGTTATTATTCATATACATTAAGTAATATTTTCTGAATAATATATTTTCACGGAGAAAGTACGAGTATGTGTTAATAATTAATATTAAGATGTTAAAATTAAAGTTTTTACGGTGATTCTTACTAAAGTTCTATCTATGTTAAAGCACCCTGTTCTCTAAGTATGTGAGACATATTTTTTCATATTAATTTAATTGTCTATAAGGTTTTGCCCACTATCTTTTTAAATCACTCCACATCTTAAGCAAACCAAATAAAACGATAATGAACCCAAAATTCTCACTAAAGCGCTCTTGATTGATATTGAATGTTTTAGAAAAATAAGACTAGCACTTACTTTTCTTCGTTGTGAGACTCCGATTCCTTGGCTGTTAACTAAATCACATAGCTCCTTGCACTTTATAATACACCACTGTCGTCGTTCTGTGGTTTCGATAAATCACCGTTCCTTGGAAACAAACAATATTCATTACTTAACAGAATAAATCAGTATCAATATACAATGAACATATAGACTACAATCAAAACTGTTGTCTCAATATAGTTAAGTACTTACTTTTCCATTAACTCTACCATTATTGTAAAGTGTGTGTGGCTAGTTCTTGACGACATTTAGCAGAAATTAACTAAAACAAATTCAAAACACAAAACTACTAAAACAACACGAAGCGGAGCGAATTCAAGTGTTTATCTTAAGTAATCCGCGTTCGGAAATCACAATTCATAAGAGGTGAAACATAGTTTTATAAACATAAAAAAAGTTTCTCCATATATAATTATATAAATAGTGTTTTGTCAAATAACTGTTTTACATTAATTAACACTATTATTAATAATTTTCATCACGTTTTCTTATTTTTACGCACTATAAAAGACTCCACAAATACAATGATAGCAATTTATAAACGTATCATTCATTTTCATTCGTTCGTTTTAATATTGAGTTCTAAGCTTTGTTTACATTTAGTTACAATATAGTATCGAGTACACTTGAATAAAAGATAAGCGTTCGTGCTGCCGACGACTTTAGTGACAGTTTCGTAAAAGTTTTCGCTTAGTTGACTCTATACGAATTCTTGACGCAATTGTTTATTATTCGTGCTCGAGGTACGGACAAAATAATTTTACTATAGTAGATTATACTTAGTCTAGTTACGTTCTAGTTACTCAACTCCACCGAGTCAGTAATTCATTCTTGGGACGATGTATACTCTTTTACAACAACTGGAATTGTTAAAATATACTGAATTTGACCTGCTCAAATTTCAAAAACTTTATTAAACTAAGTTTGTATAAAAAGGGTTATTATAATATAAAGAAGAATGAACGGAGACTTCTTTCTATAAAAAAACATCACTATTGTTATGAAATAAGTACCTATTTAATATAATTCTTAAAATAATAAACAAAGCCCGGTCTCGATACGTTAAATGTTTCAAGAGTTATGAGTGACCACGTAAAAAATCCGGACGTCCAAGAATTTTTTTTTCAGTTTTCTTAAAGAAGCAAAATAAAATTGATTTATACAAAATATGAGATACCTAGACTGATTAAATTTTCTTGAAATAAATCTACTCATATTATCGTATGAGTGCAAATCAGTTGTTGTAGAGGTAGTTAATTTCTTGACCTTAATGTGTTGCGAGTAAAGCACAACCTCAACTGCTTCGCGGTATGAGGTGTGCGATATAGAGATGAGACATACTTGCAAAATTTAATACCAGGGCTTCTAAGTACGAGTATGGAAAAATACCAGGGTCGAAAACCAGGTTTTAAAAATACTTGAAAGTATTTGTTAATGTCAATATATATATATATATATATGAATGCCTAATTTTATTCGGGCAAAAATTTATACTGAACGTTTTTAAATTTTTTTTGGTAACGAATTGAAATCTTTCCTTCCTACTTTTCGGCTTAGGACTCTTTATTAAATAAAAGTTTTAAAACTGTCTCTAAATTCAATATACACGCGAAATAACTATTTAAAAATTAGGTCACGGTCAGTAGGTTACGTAATCAGTTCACAATAACAATTGAATTTACAAGAAATCGAAACAAAACTTTTACTTCCTCGAATATAAATATAATTCTTATTACTTACTAGGTACTTACGCAACGTGTCCAGCCGCGGTGTCAGTTTGAAAATACTTGCAAAGAGTATAGTAATATATAAGGAAGAATACTTGCAAAGGAATTCGACCCGCTTTCCATGTTAGGCTATTATGGCCAAGGAGCAAAGTCGTATAAATAAAAAAAATACTTTGAAGTTCAAAGTATTTTTCATTCACAAATACGATTGAGTTTCTTATTACTATTGAGATATGGATCATTTTCCTATGCAAGTATTCTCATACTTGCAAGTATTTTTGGTCGTAAAAGGGCGCCGTACTTTAAAAACCTGGTAGCGTAAATACGTGTCATTGCGACGCGAGGGACGTGTCTAGCCGTGGTGTCAAAATTTTAAAATACTTGCATAGGAATTTCACCCGTATTCCATGTTATCCTACTATGAATAAGGAGCAAATTCGAATAAATAAAAAAAATACTTTGAAGGGCTAAGTATTTTTCGTTCACAAATACGATAGAGTTCCTTACTACTATTGAGATATGGATAATTTTCCTATGCAAGTATTTTCATACTTGCAAGTATTTTTTGCTCGTACCTTTGCAGTACTTTGAAGTGAATACCTGGTTTTAAAACCTGGTAGCGTAAATACGTCTCATCTTTAGTGCGATATTTGAAAAAAAAATTGTGTACTTTACAAAGAGATATGAATACCAAATACACATTTTTTTATTATTACTTTTTTCAGCAAAATTTTTTTTCGAATCTGAAACGGTAATGTACTTGGTTTTTTTATTTTATAAATTTTTGTGAAAATGTAATTATCATTTTGGTAACTATAGTTGAAAGTGTACTTGGCGCGATGTTTTACAGTAAAACTGTTTTTGTTCGGATAAATTATTAAGAAGAACTCTAAAACTATTGGTCTGACCTTGATCAAATTCATATGGGACCACACGAGAAGTACCAGCTTTCGAATAAAAAAAGAATGAAATCGGTTCACCCAGTAAAAACTTATAAGGTAACACACATAAAAAAAAGTCGAACGGAGTACCGTCTCCTTTTTGGAAGTCGGCAGAAAAATAATAATTAATAAAAATTAAATTAATCTTGTAGTGGCAGTCCCTTTCAAATACCATTAGTATTTGAAAGGGACGAAGAGAGAACGAAGTGTGAAATATGGGTAAATCAGGAATGTCTAGAACAGGTAAATGAAATTGTATACTTGGGGAGTGCTTTTAGTCGGGATGGAAGATGTGATTTAGATGTGGACAGGCGTGTCGCTGCCGGGAACAAAGTCAATGGTGCCCTGGCTGCGTTAGTCAAAAGGCAAGGCGTAGCGAATGGCCGACCGAAAGCGAAACGAAGAGATTCGCAATATGGCAGGTTTGAAAGATGACCTTATCACAAAAATTGATAAGGGCGTGCTTCGGTGGTTTGGGCACGTTGAGCGAATGAGTGAAGACCGAATGGTGAAGAAAATATATAGCGCGAAAGTTAATATTAAAAGGTGACTAACTTTCGAAGACCATGTGAGCAAATTGCTCGAAGAGGGTAGGGTCAAAAGTACTCGGATACTTAGACGTGCATGCATGAAGAAGATAATGAATCTGAAAGAAGCGAAAGAGGTATGTAAGGATCGTGACACTTGGCGATCTGTTCTCTCTGGCTACCCCGTCAGGGATTGTGCGTGAAGATAAGTTGTAGTGGCGGTGTAGAAATATCCACTGCCCATATCGTCCCGTGGGTGTCTAAAGAGGAGACGGAGGAAAATAAACCAGGAGGAAGACAGCAGCGTCTCCTAATAACAACTTAAATTAAATTTGGGTGAGCATGAGCAAATCATGTGGGAAGCCTATGTCCAGCAGAGAACTTTTATAGGCAGTAACGGTAACGATAAACGTCGAAAAGAAAAACATAAGCTATCCTTTAAAAACATGAATGTCTGGTCTGTTTCCACTAACCTCATTTCGTTCATATTTTAAAGTATTGTTATATATTTGTTTTTGAATTATTAAGAATAAATGCAGTTTCAATTAGCACATAAGGGCGGGCACATTAGGCACAGATGGGTTTTCTACTCGTTATATAATTTGATAAGAAATTCATAAAAAATAGATTTTTATATGGTGCACTTTAATATTTACATAATATGCACACATTTTACCAGATGTTTCACGAAAAAGATTTTTCTTTAGTGTGTATCTTCATATGATTATTCAAACTACTTTTTCTTATACATCTAAATTCACAGATACGACACGAATAAGGTTTTTCTCCGGTATGTGTTTTCATATGATATTGCAAATCACCTTTTCTAATACTTTTATATCCACAGATATTACACGAAAAAGGTTTTTCTCCAGTATGTAATTTCATATGTGTTTGCAAATAACTTTTTCTACTACTTTTATATTCACAGATATTACACGGAAAAGGTTTTTCTCCTGTATGTATTTTCATATGTGATTGCAAATCACCTTTTCTAATACATTTATATTTACAGATGTTACACGCAAAAGGTTTTTCTCCAGTATGTATTTTCATATGTATTTGCAATGTACTTTTTTGAATACATTTATATTCACAGACATTACACGAAAAAGGTTTTTCTCCGGTATGTATTTTCATATGGTATATCATATATTTTTTCTTTGTACATTTATAATTACAATTATTACAACAGAACACTTGTTTAGCAACGTGTGCTTTATAATGTGCCAAAATGTTACGTTTACGAGATGTTTTAAATTCGCAAATATCACAATTAAATATTTCCGTTAGTTGTGCTACTGGAGTTTGTTCAACTTGTGTCCGAATCGCAGTGATGTCTGAGTTCTTTTGCGTCTTATGACTGCGTGAAATGAGTTTGGCGAGAATGTCTTTTGTTGATGCCCCTGATGATTTTCTTGTAAGTATATTTACACTCTTTTGTTGCAAAATTTTCTTTTTCATAATCTTTGCAGGATGATTTCCTTTATTAATAAATGGTTGACTATCTACTTTCAGGCTTTCTTTACGAACATCGTTTATGTTACAATTAATAGAATTTGATGCATTTGTTTGTATGCAGTGTTGTTCTGAAATACACACAAATTAAGCATTTTTTTTTTAATTTAAAGCATTGTATCTTTATTGTAAGACACATTAGACAGTTATGGGTGGAGTATATGCCTTATGGCATTCTCTATTAATGAACCCAGAGAGAAATAGAGAAATTTTAATATTTTACACTTGTCATGCAAGACTCAATCGTTGCAGAAGCTTACAACAAGAGGCTATTGCGTCAAATGCAGTTCTGGAGCAGTTGCTTGCAGGAGGGTCCATAGTATTATCTATTCCATTCATTAATATCATAAAAGTCCACTGCTGAGCGTAGGCTCTCTCCTCATAGATTTTTTTTATATAGGATAAGGGTGACAAACAAGCACACAGTCCACCTGATGGTAAGTGGTTGCTGTGGCCCATATACATTTACATCTATCTTCGATTACGAATCAAAATGCAGATGCTTTGTCACCAGTGAGGACTAAGATGAAATGCCCCGTTTCTAGTAAAAGGGGTCTCCGGTTCTCTACGCTCACCATATGAATTACAGCAGCATTAGGCTGCTATTTTACGCTGGTAATCTATGAAAGCATGGTTCTTCCTCAGTCGAGCCGACCCATTTATGCTACAACTATACTACTAATATAGCTGCACCATGTCTCTACCACATATTATAATCTATCCCAAGCGTGGATATTATGGCAAATTCTCCCTAGGGAGAGATTCATCCATGTTCAGCAGTGGCAGTTTATGGGACGATTAAGATGGAGCCATTAAAAAACAACACCAAAAACGCCCTGGCAGCTCAGGGTCTAGGTGTTTGCTGTAAAAACATCACAGTACTGCTCGCGTACTGTACCCAGGTTCAATTTCCACTGGCACTCATAATATTGTTGATTTTTTTACACTAACATTATTTCTGTTGTGCGTGCGTTTTGACCAGCAGTGCTATTGTGGAAAATTAAATATGATGGGAATCATGGTTTGGATGTCGTTATACTGATTATTATGTAAATATATCAGTATAGATTATAAGCCAACGACATTTTTATATATATTGTTGGGAATGAGAGTAAAAAATAAAAGGAAATACAACCAAATGAAGGTAGAATGATAATCTCCCACTTGTTTTAGCATTATAAAGTACACACAGTAGACTAAGAGGCATCAGTCGGTAATTCTAAGAGTTTCACTGTCGTTACTATGCCTGTTGGGGTATTCTACTAGTGTACATAAGGAAGGTTGTGATGCTGAGAGGTTGCCCTGTGTTACATTGAGATGGGTAGTGATGTTGTTGGTTTGCATACTTTGGTGTTATCATGTAATTGGGGTCCTGATAGTAAGCAAGGTTTGTTACTGAGTAGTGTTCTTTTATTTAAATACTTTTGACAATAATTTCTAACATCAGAAGTGGAATAGTTTGTTACAATATAGTATTTTACAGACTTTGACTAACGGGCACACAGTCCACCTAATTGTAAGTGGATGCTGTAACCAAAGACGTCTACATCCTATTAAGAATCAAAATGTAGATGCAGTTTCTAACGAAGCTAATTATAATGTCCATGCTTAATATGCTTATCTTTTAAAATAATTATTTAATTCGTATTTTTCTTATTCCATAAGAGTGCTTTTTACATGCACTTTGAATTTAGGCAAAGGCAAATCAGTAAATCAGTACTTTGCATATGAAGCCCTCTTATTTTGTGTCCATGGGCTACAGTAACAAATTGCTTGCCACTTGCCATTAGGTAAACTGTATCTTATTTTAACCATATCACAAAATGTGTATATCCTTACCTGTTTCATGATTCCCATTTTCTTCAAATTTGGAATTCTCATCTTTGATATTCTCTTCTTCAACTTTAACAGATTCAAGGCTAAAAATTTCGTCATTACAATCATTTTCAGTGTCACACTCAACTGGCCTGATATCTATATGACAAATTGGTGTGAATTGAATCTCATATTTAGGTTCATGCGGTTTTGGTATTGACTGAAACCAAATTCTTTTTTTAAATAAGAAAAAAGTCAGTGTATTGGTGGCGTAGTAGAATACATACTACCACATACAATCCTGCAGATGTCGTAAAAAGGGACAGAGGGAAACTGAAATAGAAGTTGGGCAGCAGCATCTTACTGACAACAACTCAGATCAATATAAGCTGCCGTTGCCAATCAAATTTGTCAAAATCCCTCCTATGGAGCAATCAAAATAGTTTTTACGTGGCAGAGCCATGCTACAGCTATATTACTGGTATTAGTTGTAGCACGAATGGGTGGGCTCAACTGGGGAAGGACCACGCCCTCATAGAATACCAGTGTAAAATAACAGATTAACACTGCTGTGTTTCGTATGGTGAGTGTAGAGAACCGGAGACCCCTTTTTACTGGAAACAAGGCATTCCATTTTAGACTTCACAGGTGACAATGCATCTGCATTTTGATTCGAAATCGAGGATAGACGTAGATGTCTATGAGCCACAGCAAGCACTTACCATCAGGTGGACTGTGTGCTTGTTTGTCACCCTTATCCTATATAAAAAAAAATATGAGGAGAGAGCCTACATTCAGCAGTGGAATTTTATAGGTTTTAATGGATGGAATAGATAATACCATGGACCCTCCTGCAAGCAACTGCTCCAGAACTGCATTTGACGCAATAGCCTGTTGTTGTAAACTTTTGCAACGATTGAGTCTTGCGTGACAAGTGAAACAAACAATTATAGGCTCCTCGTCCTCATCCATCTGAAAATATGAAAAATCATAATCAATATGGAAAACTACTTAAATACATAAGTTTGTAATAAAATCTATTGGCTACTACAATTCTCTTCATCAACATCATTTTTTATAAAATTGAAGTGACAAACGAACTTACAATCCACCTGATGGTAAGTGGCGACTGCACCCCATGAGAACCTGCAACAAACTTCAAGCAAAGGCTACAGATGCGATGTTTCCACTGAGCACTGAGATGTATTGCTTCACAGCCTATGATTATAATGACTCAATGTCCTTCACACTAACACACGCCGCTGCTTGGTGGCAGAAATAGGTAAGAGGATGATAACTCTCTAGACAGACTTCAAGGCAGAAGAAAGTGCAACAACCTATTGGATAATCATCACCGCAACAACACAGTCCTAAGCCACCTACAGCCATCGACTTCCTGTCTTACCAGATTACCACTATCTAGTGGGGTGCCACTCTACAATTTACTTACCACTATGAGGCTACCACTAGAGAATTATGTTTCCCCATCTGTCTTAGTTCATTCAGTACATTCAAACCCACAATTCAATCTTACTAAAGCTACTTTCAAATTTTAACATTAAACTACTAGCATTACTATTAACATAACAAACACCTCTTATTTGCTCCAAGTAAACTGAAACTGCTTGCACTAGGAGTAATTTACAACAATAGTTGAATGACAGATTTGAACTTACTACTTTCTTGAGTTTGCAATCTGAAACCTTAACTACCACTGTCACTTACTTTCAAATGGATGTTAATAACAATATACATCCCCTAGCAGTTTTATCATTTTTAATTTAATATCAATAGCAGTATGAAGTAAGTTCTAGGTGGGTATGGACATCTAACAATTAGATTATTTTATCTCATAAGGCTATGGGCAGCAGCATTTTCAATGTAACAGGTCAGAATAATAAAAAAAACTGCAGTTGCAATAAAGGCAAATAATAATAATAACACCAGAATTGATACTAAAAATATTTAATACATATTTTCAACCTGGAGAAGCTTCAACACAGATATTCAAAAGATTCTAAATCATTGAGAACATACATGAGCAAAGTCTGAAAACACTTAAACTTACAACTCTGATAGATCACAGAGAATGAGGAGACTTGATTGAAACATACAAAACAATATATGGACATTATGATCTAGAAAATTTTAACAACCATTATTCTGGTACTCAAACAACACACATCTTAGAGGCAAAACTTCAAATAGACTAAAGCTATGTCAGCTAATAACTCACCTATTTTAGGTAGAGAGTGGTTGAAGTATGGAACAAGCTGCCAATAAATTATATCAGCATAAACCATGAAATAATTTAAGAATAGATTGGTAAACAAATAAGAGAACAACTACAGATTTGAAACTAGGATCGAGGCTGATATCAGTTATTTCAACTGCCAGCCTGCTATTTTTTTTTATATAATTAAGGTGACAACCGAGCACACAGTCCAACTGATGGTAAATGAATGCCCATAGACATCTACAAGTTATCCCCAATTAAGAATCAAAATGTAGATTTGCTCTCACCCCCCGAGGACCAAGATGGAACACCTTGTCACAGTAAAAAGGTATTCTGGTTCTCTACACTCACCATATGAATCGGAGCAGCATTAAGCTGTTATTTTATGCTGGTATGCTTAAAAAGCATGGTACCACTCCAGTAGAGCTTGACCCATCTGTGATACAACCATAATATAGCTGCAGCATGGCTCTACCACATACAAAATAATGATAATAAGGTCCAACAGACAGAATTTCAGTCACAATTGAGACTATTTCTAAGCGCAGGACAGGCTTATATTGCATATGTGTTTAAGCAAGCACAACATGTGCACATTATCCCCTTCTCTGATTTCTCAGTCTGATAGGAGTATGAGAGTGAGGGAAGTTCTGTATCTGTAAGCACATGTGCACTCTAATCTCCCAATTTAATAGTCCAATAGAATGGCTTTAGTAAGTGAAAGACAAACCAGCGTGGATGCTAATTTCTTAACAGAAAATCGCAACAATACTCGATAATATGTACTAGAACAAACACCGTCAATAAATCTATGCAGCAGTACGGGTCGCGTAGAAGGAGGCACAAGGTACCTGTTTATGGCACAGACTCAGTAGGTTTACTCCCTCGCGGGCTCTTAACAAGTGTTACAAACAACTAAGTCTTTGTTTCTCTTTTAGTACGTGGTAGGCTAGTAGGACTTCAAGTTAACTGTTGTTTTTCAGGTTCTGGTTGTATTTGTCACTATATTTAACGCTGCACCTTAGCCTAGCCCCGATCTATCGCATTTTATATCCGGCAAGTTATAGTGTATTTCTCCGGCGATAACAACAAATTAACGCAACTTCAATTTGCAATATTAAGAAATATTAACAAACTTACAAAAGTGTTCGTCAATGTTTTGTACAAATTTTTTAGACCAGTCTTCTTTAGTACAAACATGCGTAAATTAACGCATAAACAAATTCTACAAACTTCACTAAAGGCCATTGCTGTTTCCTGTAGCTTTAATATAACTGAATCCTCTTTTTCTTTTTCATCAATAAACCGCGGTTTAAAATGTTTACTAGCTAGCGAGTAATCTAGTAATCTAGTAATAATTATTCAAAATACTCTGTGTAATAATATAAAAATACAGTATACCATAGAGAAAAGTAACACATCGGGATCGATACTGTAAAATAAATATCGATATATCGCAAAATAAAATATCGACGATATATGTCGATATTTTTTTGCAGTATACTTTATTTATGCAGTATACTATATAATGTAGGCTTGGGCAAAAAATATCGACATATATCGTCGATATATTATTTTTCGATATATCGATATTTATTTTACAGTATCGAGTTCGTATCATTTCGATCCATTTTAAAATTTTGTATTAATGACAAAACATGTAGCCGTGTAGTGGCGGTCAAGAATATCCACTACCCCATATCCCCCCGTGGGTGTCGCAAAAGGCGACAAAGGGAAACAGGCAGGAGATGGGCAGCAGCATCTTCCTGATAATAGCCAAATTACAATAAAAAAACTGCGGTTGCCAACCCGCTCGCCAAGCGTGGCAACTATGGCAAATACCCCCCTATGAATGACAGTAACAAAGAAACGGCCCCCAGTCCCCGGCGGCCCCGCTATTCCTGGCTACGGTGGCGACCATGGTAACGGCGGGGCAGGGGGTGCTAAGAATCTCCGGTGGAGGTTCGGTTGCCACCTTAGACGACTCGACCTGGCAACGTACAACGCACGCACCCTGAGGACTGACGAGAAGATCGTGGAGCTGGAAGAAGAGATAGACAAGTTGCGCTGGCATATTATAGGATTATCCGAAGTCCGAAGAGAGGGGGAGGACACGGTAATCCTCGAATCCGGCAACTTGCTCTATCACCGGGAGGGCGACCATCTGTCCTAAGGAGGTGTCGGATTTATCGTCCACAAGTCTCCCGTTAACAACGTTGTAAAGATCGGGAGTATGTCGACGAGGACCTTATACTCAGAATCACCAAACGGTATTCGCTGAAGGTCATACAGGTTTACGCACCAACCTCGGCACACCCCGATGAGGAGGTGGAGGAAATGTATGAGGATATCTCTAGAGCCATGCATTCCTCCAAAACCCAATATACGGTGTTAATGGGAGACTTCAACGCAAAACTAGGCACAAGAGAGAGCGGTGAGCTGAAAGTAGGGAAATTTGGAATAGGGCAACGGAACCCAAGGGGCCAGCAGCTGGCCGACTTCATGGAGAAAGAGGGACTCTTTATGATGAACTCTTTCTTTCAGAAGCGGCCCCACAGGAAGTGGACCTGGTCGAGCCCCGACGGTTCCACAAAAAATGAGATTGACTTCATTATAACGACCAGACGACAACTGTTCAGTGATGTCTCCGTGATTGCGAGGGTGAAAACTGGTAGCGATCACCGAATGGTTAGAGGCACACTGAACCTAAACGTTAAGTTGGAGAGGTCTCGTCTAATGAAGTCAACGCTCCGTCCCCCTCGTGCTCTGTTCCAAAGTCCCGAAACCTTTCAGCTCGAGTTACAAAACCGTTTTCAGTGCCTGGAAGACTGCAATGAAGTGGACAATATGAATGACAAGCTCGTGGAAACTGTACATGCGGTTGGAGCTAAGTTCTGCAAGACCCGCCGCAGAAGAACACAAAAACTCTCCGATCACACTCTTAATCTCATGGCTGTTACACGGGAGATGAAGCTACATTCTTCAACAGACTTGACAGCATACAGGCATCTGAACAGACAGATCTCCAAATGCATGCGGCGGGACTTACGCAACTTCAATACAGCTCATATTGAAGAAGCGATCTAGCGGAACCAAGGCTCCAAAGTCTTTGCCAGAGATCTGTCTGCCAGAAAGAGCCAACTGTCAAAGCTGAAGACAGAATGTGGCAGCATCGTTTCCGGGACACCTGAGATTTTGAGTGAGATTGAGAGGTTCTATGGGCAGCTGTACACATCATCGTTGGAGCCACACGCAAGTGTGAGTAACGATCCAAGAGTGAGTTTCATCCGACACTAATCCGAAGATATCCCGGATGTCAGTCTGAGCGAGATTAGTATGACTCTCCAGCACCTTAAAAACGGTAAGGCCCCAGGCGAGGATGGAATTACAGCGGAGCTTCTGAAAGCGGGTGGAAGACCGGTACTTGAAGTCCTTCAGAAGCTCTTTAATTCCATCCTGCATGGTGGCATTACACCGGAGGCGTGGAGCAGAAGTGCGGTGGTCTTGTTCTTCAAGAAAGGTGACAACGCTCTCTTGAAGAACTACAGACCGATTTCCCTTCTGAGCCGCGTCTACGTGCTGTTTTCGAGAGTCATTACGAATCGTCTCGCACGCAGACTTGACGACTTCCAGCCTCCCGAACAAGCCGGTTTCCGAAAGGGCTTTAGCACCATAGACCACATACATACCCTTCGGCAAGTTGTACAGAAGTCCGAAGAGTACAATTTGCCACTATGTCTGGCGTATGTGGACTATGAGAAAGCCTTTGATTCCGTCGAAATTTGGGCGGTGCTGCAGTCCCTTCAGCGGTGCCAAGTTGACTGTCGGTATATCGAAGTGTTGAAGTGCTTGTACAGTAGGGCTACGATGGCTATCCGAGTACAGAACCAGAGTACGAAACCTATCCAATTGCAGAGTGGTGTAAGACAGGGTGACGTCATATCCCCGAAACTTTTCACCGCTTCATTGGAAGACGTTTTCAAGCTTCTGGACTGGAAAGAATACGGTATCAACATCAATGGCGAGTACATCACTCACCTTCGATTTGCCGACGATATAGTCCTTATGGCAGAATCGCTGGAGGACCTAAGCACTATGCTCAATGACCTCAATAGTGTTTCCCAACGGATAGGTCTTAAGATGAACATGGACAAAACAAAGATCATGTTTAATGTCCATGTCACACCTATGCCGGTAGTTGTTGGGAGCACTAAGCTCGAAGTTGTTGACGAGTATGTTTACCTGGGACAAATAGTCCGACTAGGTAAGTCCAACTTCGACCGAGAGGTCAATCGACGGATTCAACTCGGCTGGGCAGCTTTCGGGAAGCTACGACACATCTTCTCGTCAGACATACCTCAAAACCTTAAAACGAAATTGTACAACTAGTGCGTGTTGCCAGTGATGACTTACGGAACTGAGACGTGGTCCTTCACTGCTGGCCGTATGAGGAAGCTCAAGGTCGCTCAGCGAGCTATGGAGAGGGCTATGCTCGGAGTTTCTCTGCGTGATAAACTTAGGAATGAGGATATCCGCAGTAGAACCAGAGTGACCGACATAGCCCAACGGATTAGTAAGCTGAAGTGGCAGTGGGCCGGCCATATAGCTCGAAGAACCGACAACCGATGGGGAAGAAAGGTTCTCGAGTGGCAGCCTCGTACCGGTAGGCGAAGTGTAGGGCGTCCCCCCACGAGATGGAGTGACGACCTGGTAAGACATGCAGGAAGTCGATGGATGCAGGTGGCTCAGGACCGTGCTTTGTGGCATTCTTTGGGGGAGGCCTATGTTCAGCAGTGGACTTGTGAAGGGCTGTAATGATGATGATGATGATGACAAAACATGCAACAACAAAAGGAGGTACAAAAGTATTCACGTATGGTTGGTTGTCGTTTTTTTTTTTCGTCGTCCAACCGTCAGTTATTAAAAATGGTGGACTTTATCTTTACATCATGCAAATGATGACGATATATCGATATTTATCACGCGATATATATCAATACTCTTTAAAAAAATAATAGATATATATATATATATATATATATATCGATACACCGTGTAGTGGCGGTTAAGAATATCCACTACCCCATATCTTTCCGTGGGTGTCGTAAAAGGCGACAAAGGGAAACAGGCAGGAGATGGGAAGCAGCATCTTCCTGATAACAGCAAAAATACAATAAAAAAACTGCGGTTGCCAACCCGCTCGCCAAGCGTGGCAACTATGGCAAATACCCCCCCAAATGGATAAAGTTACTAAGAGAAGGCCCCGCTATTCCTGGCTACGGTGGTGACCATGGCAACGGCGGGGCAGGGGGTGCTAAGAATCTCCGGTGGAGGTTCGGTTGCCACCTAAGACGACTCGACCTGGCAACATACAACGCACGCACCCTGAGGACTGACGAGAAGATTGTGGGGCTGGAAGAAGAGATAGACAAGTTACGCTGGCATTTATAGGATTATCCGAAGTCCGAAGAGAGGGGGAGGAAACGATCGAATCCGGCAACTTGCTCTATTACCGGGAGGGCGACCATCTGTTCCAAGGAGGTGTCGGATTTATCGTCCACATGTCTCTCGTTAACAACGTTGTAAAGATTGAGAGTGTGTCAACAAGGGTTGCGTACCTTATACTCAGAATCACTAAACAGTATTCGCTGAAGGTCATACAGGTTTACGCACCAACCTCGGCACACCCCGATGAGGAGGTGGAGGAAATGTACGAGGATATCTCTAGAGCAATGCATTCCTCCAAAACCATACGGTGGTAATACGGTGTTAATGGGAAACTTCAAAGCAAAACTAGGCACAAGAGAGAATGGTGAGCTGAAAGTAGGGAAATTTGGAATAGGGCAACGGAACCCAAGGGGCCAGCAGCTGGCTGACTTCATGGAGAAAGAGGGACTCTTTATGATGAACTCTTTCTTCCAGAAGCGGCCCCACAGGAAGTGGACCTGGTCGAGCCCCGACAGTTCCACAAAACATGAGATTGACTTCATTATGACGACCAGACGACAACTGTTCAGTGATGTCACAGTGATCGCGAGGGTGAAAACCGGCAGCGATCAAACCTAAACGTTAAGTTGGAGAGGTCTCGTCTAATGAAGTCAACGCTCCGTCCCCCTCGTGCTCTAATCCAAAGTCCCGAAACCTTTCAGCTCGAGTTACAAAACCGTTTTCAGTGCCTAGAAGACTGCAATGAAGTGGACGATATGAATGACAAGCTCGTGGAAACTGTGCATGCGGTCGGAGCTAAGTTCTGCAAGACCCGCCGCAGAAGAACACATAAACTCTCCGATCACACTCTTAATCTCATGGCTGTTAGACGGGAGATGAAGCTACATTCTTCAACAGACTTGACAGCATACAGGCATCTGAACAGACAGATCT